TTCATTCTTATTGCTGTCGCTGCTATAACACCTGAATTTCCCTACGGTGATTAAAAAAGGTTTATCTTATTGTCTTCCAGGCAAGTGGAAACAAGGAGGGGAGCACCTCACAGTCCTGAGGGAGATGCACAGTGCAGATCAGGACCAGCAGGAACGGCACCTGCAGCTGGCCTTAGCGGCCTTTTACATTTATGTATATAGTTTTGCTGTGTTTTACACTTTTGTATTTATGTTTATAGTTAGCTTTGTTATTATTATGGTTCATGTATTTGTGTCTAGATATTTGTCTGTTGATGTAGGACATGGAGCTGCTGTGACGCAAGTCAAATTTCAGACCTGATCTGACAAATAAAGTAGTATCGTATTTGCACTTGTTTGATGATTAAACAGTTTGTTTGTAACAAGTATTTTCATCGTGATAACCTTTGTGTTAATAGTAGATCTAAACAAACAAAACAGACCACAAAACAACTTTCTTAATTTATTAGAAAGATTTTCTTTTCATGATCTGTTATTTTCTCAAATGTTCTTATTAAATTCAAATATTTACTAAATGGTCAATCATTTGACAAACACATGTATATGTGAAAGAGTAAAAAATATTGATTTATGTTCAATACAATTTACAATCAGTGCAATGAATGTGTTGCTATTAAATTAGCGCATCAGACCCTCTCGTATGTCACTGCCCTCCATCTCTGCACCTTGTGCCACTGCTACCCCAGGCTCTGCTGCTGGTGGTGCTGAATCACATTCATCATCACAGGCCTCTCCATGACATTTGTTGCACAGATAGGTGTAGGTTTCCTCAGACGTCCTGAAGTTCTGTACCCACGGAGTGTGTGTGAAAGATGGAATAATCACACCCCACCGCTCGGTAGCTCGTTTGAACGTACAAACACAAGGTCTGAGGCGGCGACTTTGCAAATGGTATAACTTCTGAAATACACATAAAAAAGCATACATATTTTAATACGTAAAACTGGTAGCTAAAATTAATTAAATACTTGAAACACTGGTCGTATAGTGAGCGTGACCCTAAACACATTGCTAGTTAGCGAACGTTAGCTTACCAAGTAGCGTTGTCGTTTTGTAGTGATCAGTCGTCTTGTCATTTCTGCTGCGTTGTAGGGTTGCCCAAACTCTCCTGTTAGCTTCTTCTGTATTTCGTCTTGCGATACGCAGCCTTTTCCGAAACAAATTTTGCCTCCTTGCTGTGATAAAAATCAAGAACCAAGTACACGATCGCTTCCATATCCTCCATTGTTATGGAGTTTGAGAGTTGTGTCGCATTGAAGATGACGTCAAGGCAGTTTTACGCAGCGTCGCTCCGCTCACAGCCGATCACCCCGCCTACACTGCGTCGTTACTATAGTTACTACCCCAGCTTAAAGTGAGCCTGGCCTACCAAGGCCAAACCATTCCGTACTAAGCCGTGCTAGGTCCTGCAGTGGAAAAGCTCCATAAGAAAGACCTGCTTACTTTGAGATTTCAAGGCTATCACTTCATCATTTCGATCGTGAATTGATTTCCTCCACATAAAATCCTCACCTACTAAACTGACTTGTTTAAAGTGCTCTCCTTTGCTCTCCTCTCCAGAGTAATGCCCTGGTGGTGCGTGAGGTGGACGTAGAGAAGGTCTGCTCCTTCGAGCAGCCGTACACCAGTGCCATAAAGATGCTGTGGACGGACCCTGGCATCCAGGAGGCCTACGACCGCAGGAGAGAGTACCAGCTCTCTGACTCTACCAAATAGTACGTCCAATTTATTCATCTACAGGATTCATTTTTAATCTGTAGAAGCAGTATCACTTAAACTGTAGCCTGTAAAATATCCATTGCAATGCGATTTAAAACTGGTAAATAACTGTTTTGATAGTTGAAACATGATCAAATGTAACCACAGTTGCATTGAAGATTGTTAATAAACCATATTGAGTAGTTTTCTACCTGTTACTATGTACTACATCTGAAGAAAGGAAAAGAGGGTTCAGGCAGATGTGGAGAAGAGGAGGAAATGTTGACAGGTTTATAAACGACTGCTAATAATATCAGAGCTAATTCCAACCTGCATTCATCCATTTCAGACTAAGAGGGCTCCTTTTAAATAATTGAGGTTTTAGGGTGAGAAATAAAGTTTTAATTATAAATGTATTTGTATAAACTGTATATATTTATGAGGCACTTGTGGCTATATGCATATTGCTTTGGTTCTCAAACTCCCAATTTGTTCTCAAGCAGATTTCTAGGGGAAAAGATATTAAAAGATGCATTATTAGACAAGAAAATGTTCTTTAATGTTATAAATGTCCTTCACTTTGGAACCTATCCTATGGTAACATTTTGAGACCTCAAAAAGCATTCGGCCACTTGCATCAATATGCAAAACGTTTATTTGGGGAACTAAAAGAGTTTGCTAAAGCATATTTAGTTTCATCTCTAAAGTGTATGGATAGATATTGGATCATTCACTTGAAGATTGATTTGAAATGGAAGAACATTTCCTTTCCTTTTTAATCCACCCCCTTTTTTGATGGTAGTATGTTTTTTTGACAGAGAGCCATTATTTTCCGACCTGTGCATCTTTATCATGTGTTCCTTCCACAGTTACCTTAACGCTTTAGATCGAATAGTGACAGCGGAGTACATGCCCACTCAGCAGGACGTGCTGCGGGTCCGAGTGCCCACCACCGGCATCATCGAGTACCCCTTTGACCTGGAGAATGTTATCTTCAGGTACTGGTGTCAGGTGCTGCTGATGAGGCCACCGATTGGCTAGCTGCTCCACAGTCTGCCAGACAGTTGGAAACCGTCAATGCCGCTATCTCCATCTACTCAGCACTTTAACACATCCCTGATGGTACACTCTCAAAGACCAAAACATCCCCTCCTGTCGAGTCTTTATAGAAAAGGGAGTCACTTTTTTTCTTCACCTAGGTTGTCAAAGTTGGCCTCTGAATGCTAAATCATCATTTTGAGTCCAGTTTAAAGCCCCGAAACCTTCACTGATGATAAACTTGAGGAATGTTTTGTCTTTGGGAGCTGCCATCAAGGATGAAGCTACATTTCTAAGAGAACGTTTGGGGGGGGTAGAGGTTCAAAACGTCACCTCCTCCCCTCATAACTCTTGGGAATGGTTTTCTGTGGTTACATCTGGACTAGTCCACTTGCTTTCGGAGGAAGGGGGGGGTGCTGTTTCTGCTGTTATGCTTCATCTTCTCTTTCCTCCCTCCCTCCCTCTCTCTGTCTGTTGTCCTTCCTGTCTCTAGCTATCTAAGTGATCTGGATCGTATTGCTGAACCGTGCTATCTACCGACCCAACAGGACGTGCTTAGGGTTCGAATCCCAACCACTGGGATCATAGAATACCCTTTCGACTTGCAAAGCATCATTTTCAGGTAGAAGAAGAACAACATTACTTTGTCTAACCCCACTTCTGTACCCTATTAGTGTTCTGTTTTCATTTTATAATCCATAAAAGCCATCTTAAGTCTGACTCAACATGTTTGTATGTCACCTACAACATTGTTTTATTTCCTTATTTTGTCTGAATATGTCCCAAATCCATTTTCATATTGGAATGCATTCAGTATTTTAGTATATTGAGCCAAACACACGCAGTTGGACAAATTGAATTCACTATTTTGATCATTGATTAGTATTTCAAAGTTTAACATTTCTATTCTGGGATATCCGTTCAATCATAACAGTACAGTCGACTTTATTCTCCTTGTTTTTATTTGATGAAAAACCCTAGTTAATGCTAACCGTGGTGACAAATAAACGCCTCGACATGTTTCGCCAGTTATTAACGAACAAGTTAAATTTGGTCGCCGTCATTAATTGACTTTTAATCCAGTTTTAAGCCACATGTGAATGATTCCCGTTTTTAGATCTTGGTTGTTTTAAATATGTATTTGAACTTGATGAAGGATTTTAGTCATCTGACGTTTGGGTCTTAAGTTATTTGAGAAATGAGCAGACAAATGTTAGCAGCGTCTGAGAGACTTCATTCAGTGTTATAATCACCTGGTTCATCCGCTGGGAGATACAATTTGTTTAGACTTTTTATAGAACACCAGTTAATTGGCCGAATAAAAGATAATGAAAATATACATGTTATGACATACTTCCAGGCTTTATTACAAAGCCAAAGCTGTAGTTGTAGCATGTTTAGTAACTGAAAGGCTCATCAAGGCAGTATTTCTGATAATAGTTTTCTCTGTAGCAGGGTGTCCGCGGGGTCGTAAAAAGTATTAAAAGTTGATGAAAAAAATCAAGCGAAAATGAAGGCTATTAAAAAGTATTGAACGGCATTTTCCAAGGTGTTACATTTTGTAGCTTGTTTTTAATAGGTATATAAATTGTCCAAAGAGGTTGTATTCTAAAGTCCGCCTGAATGTAATCATTGCGTAGGTGTGTCGTGTCAGGGTTCCCGCGGGGTCTTAAAAAGTCTTAAAAAGTCTTAAATTTGATAATATGAATTTAAGGCCTTAAAAAGGTCTTAAATATGACCAAAAAAATAAGAAAGGTCTTAAATANTCATATTTATTCATACTTATATTCATTTATAATTATCCATTTACTTCATGACTGTTGAATATAAATATATATATAAACATGTATGAGTATGTACAAATATACAGTCATGAAGTAAATGGATAATTATAAATGAATATAAGTATGAATAAATATGATACAAGTTTAAACAAAGCACAGTCCAAAATAAGTGGAAAGCAGTGCAGGTCCATGCACTGCAGCACAATACTTAACAATGAAGAATATACAAGAATATATTAGGATGTCACAACATGTTTTACTAGC